GGATCATTGGGATCAGGGTCAGGGTCCTCAAGCCCAGCCTGAGTTCCTGAGGGGTTGGAAAAGCTGGGATTGATCCAGGAGAGTCCTGCTGAGATCCCGAGGGAATTCTGAGCTCCCGTGGGAATCCTGCCCTGAATCCCTTCCCTAAATCCCTTCCCTTCCCTTGGGAATCCCTAATTCCCTGCTTTCCTTTGGGAATTCTTTCCTTTCCCCCCCCCTTGGCAATTCTTCCTTAAATCCCTTCCAAATCTTTCTTTCCCTTGGGAATCCTTTCCTTCTTTGGGAATCCTGAGCTCCCACAGGAATTCTCCATTCCCTTGGGAATCTTTCATTCCCTTCCTCGTTTTTTGGGAACCTTTCCTTTCCTTCCTTGGGAATCTTCAGCTCCCACAGGAATCCTTCATTCCTTTGGGAATCCTTCCTTAAATCCCTTCCCAAAATCCCTTCAATTCCCCAAATCCCTTCCCTGAATCCCTTCCTTTCTTTGGGAATCCTTCCTTAAATTCCTTCCCTTGGGAATCCTTCCCTTCTCTTGGGAATCTTTCATTCCCTTCTTTTCTTTGGGAATCCTTCCCTTCCTGGAATCTTTCCCTTCCTTGGGAATTCTGAGCTCTCAGAAAAATCCTTCATTCCCTTGGGAATCCTTCCCTAAACCCCTTCCCTTTCAAATCCCTCATTCCCTTGGGAATTCTTCCCTTTCTTTGGGAATCCTTCCCTAAATCCCTCATTCCCTTGGGAATCCCCCTCTCCTGCAGTTGCTGCGTTCCACTGGAAATCCTGGAATTCTGCCAGGATTCCCCCTGGAATTCCTTGGTTTTCCCGGGTGGTTTTTTTTTTTTTTTTTTTGGGATTTAAGTTAATTGGGGTCTCAGGGGTTTGTTAATGGAAGTTTGTTTCTTTTCCTGTTCCCTTGGAATTTTGCTGGGAATTCTTCCCGGGGTTTTTCCCACGGGATTTGCACCTGGAGCCTCCCGGGGCCCTCCCAGACAGGAAATTCCAGGGGGTTGTGGAAATAATTCCAATGTTTTACCATGATATTCCATACATTTATGACAATATTCCATAGTTTTGTGGAAATATTCCAAGGTTTTATGATGTTATTCCATAAATTTGTGACAATATTCCAAGTTTTATTTCAGTGTTTTCTGGAAATATTCCATGGTTTTGTGATATTCCCTGAATTCATGATGATATCCCATGGTTTTGTGACAATATTCCAAGGTTTTCTGGAAATATTCCAGGGTTTTTTGAGGACATTCCCCCCTCAGAGCACCCAAACCCCAAGGGAAAAAAAATCCATCAATCCCAGAGAGAGGAACAAATCCATTTATTGGGAACATTCCCGAGGGAAAACTTGGGAAAATCCAACATGAAAAGGGGGAAAATCCAACCTAAATGGGGAAATTCCAGCCCAAAAAAAAAAAAGGAGGGAAAATCCAACCCCAAACCTGGGAAAATCCCACCTGAAAAAATGGGAAAATCCAACTCAGAAATGAGGGGAAATTCCAAGTGCAAAGAGGGGAAATCCAGCCTGAAAATTGGGAAAATCCCACCTGGAAAAGAGGGAAAATCCAACTCCAAAAAAAGGGAAGATTGAACCCAGTGAGAGGGAAAATCCAATGGGAAAACTCGGGAAATTCCAGTCCAAAAAAAGTGGGAAAATTCCAACATAAAAAGGAGGGAAAAATCTGACCTAAAAGAGGGAAAATCCAACAAAAAAACTTGGGAAAATCCAAACCCTAGAGGGAAAATCCAAGCCTAAAAACTTGGGAAAACCCCAAAAAGAGGGAATTCCAACTTAAAATAAGGAAATTCCAATCCAGAAAAAAAGGGAAAATCCAATCCCAAACCTGGGAGAATTCAACCTGAAAGCTTTGGAAAATCCCACGTGGAAAAGAGGGAAAATCCAACTCCAAAACGAAGGAAATTCCAACTCCAGAGAGGGAAAATTTTCCTAAAAATTTGGGAAAATCCATCCCAAAACGCAGGGAATGGGATGGACACAATTCCAGCCATGCCAGCTCCGGAGCCACGTCCTGCTGGGAATTCTGGGAATGTTGGGGCTGTGGAAATCTGGGAATGTCAGGATCTGGAATTGCAAGGATTTAAGGGCTACAGAATCACATCCTGCTGGAAATGCAGGAATCTTGGGCTTCCAGAAATCTGGGAATGTCAGGAAATCCTGGAAATGTGGGAATATCGAGCTCTGGAATTGTGGGAAGGTGAGGGCTGCAGAACTGTGGGGATGTCAGGGCTGGAATTGTGGGAATGCAAAACTCTGGAAATCTGGGAATGCCAGGCTCCAGAACTGCAGGGATGGCAGCCTCTGGAATTGTGGGAATTGCAGGAATATCAGGGCTCTGGAATTCCGGACATGTCAGGGCTCTGGAACTAC